AGGCTGAGTGTGCAAGGAGGCCTTGGACTGCTGCGGCGGTGGAGGCTGAAGCTGCAGCGAGGCCACTCATCATTACCCCTCCACCCAGGCTGGGTTGGAGGGGGCGCCACCATAGTCAACAGCCCTTCGTTCCCCATCAGCAGTAACAGCCACTGCAGTCAAAGAGCTTGGGCAGAGCTGCAGCCACCTACTGGACCAGGCCCAGATGACACAACTGGACTGCTTGTTAGAGGAGTTTGTGAAAATTCTTACTGCCTGTGACGAGGACTGCACCCGGATGAGCCTGGTCCAGCATCACATAGACACCGGCCAAGCATCCCCCATCCGCTTGCGGCCACATCATCTGCCATTGGCCAAGTGACAAGCGGCTGAGGAATCGATCCGGAGCATGGCAGCTAATGGGGTAATCAAGCCAGCAGATGGTCCATGGGCAGCGCCAGTTGTCATGGTGAAGAAGAAAGACGGCGGGTGGTGGCCATGTGTGGACTACCGCTGGCTCAACGAGGTAACAAAAAAAGACTCCTATCCCCTGCCCCGCATTGATGACGCACTGGACCACGTGGCTGGGTCCCAGTGGTTCCACTCTTTGGACCTATGGAGTGGCTACTGGCAGGTTGAGCTTGCTCCAGAGGCTCGACCAAAGACTGCCTTCACTATTGGTCAAGGACTGTGGCAGTTCACAGTGATGCCCTTTAGTTTGTGTAATGCCCTTGCTACCTGTGAGCGACTCATGGAGCATGTGCTCAAGGACATCCCCCGCAGTCGATGTGTGGTGTACTTGGATGACCTGCTGGTGCACGCCAAGGACTTTGATACAGCCCTGATGAACCTACGGGAGGTTCTGTTGGCCATCAGTCACTTGGCTGCTGAACTTCAAGCAACCTGAAGGCCAGGTAGCCAGGTGGCTGGAAATACTGCAGGAATATGACTTTGTAATCCAACATCGTCCTGGGCATCAGCACACTAATGCTGATGCTCTTTCCAGGCGTCCCTGCATGGCAGAGGCATGTCGCTACTGCCACCGACAGGAAGGGCGAGACCAGGGACCACCAATGGCAGCAGCGGCATGTCCGGTGGATGCTGTGAGGGAGACAGAGCCATTCAGTATGGAGCGAGCAGCTGAAGCAACACCAGGGAGCAGACCTGGCTCTGGTGGAAGTGAGGCATTGGTTGGAGGCGGGGCAGGGCCCGGACTGGTCAGCGGTGTCCTCTGGGGGCATAGAACTGAAGGTGCTGCACTCTCTCCGGGGCAATTTGGAGCTCCATGAAGGCCTCCTATATCGGCGGTGGTGGGCGCCTAGAGGAGGCCGGGACAAACTCCAACTCTTACTTCCCCGCTCTCTACGCCCAGAAGTCCTGCACTGGGTCCATGGGGCAGCAGGAGCTGGTCACTATGGAAACTCCAAGACGGTGAGGCGGCTGGCCTGGCTGCCGGCAAAATGCGGAGGTCCATGTGCACTGCTGCGACAGTTGCACTGCACACAAAGGACTCAGCCAACATTCCCGGGGGCCCCTGCAGGAATAGTGGAGGGGCAACAAGCAGCAGACCTCTCACTTCCCCTCATCTGTGTTTGG